TACCTACCTACCTACCTACCTATTTAGCAAACTATCAACCTCTCTGTCTCGCTGCCCGTCCTTTCCGTCTGTCGGCCTGTCCGTCCTTCCGACTGTCTGTAAGATCCAACCTAACCTTACCCGATCTATCTCGTCGTCTCGCTCACTCGCTCTCGCTCTATCTCTCTGTCTNNTACCTATCTATCGATCGATCTATCTATCTCGCGGTAGAAATCGAAACGGATATCAATGTAGTCTGTGCTTATTATACGTTTAGATATAGAGACTGACATACATACATATATATATATACAGACAGAGAGAGGCAATATTTACTTGTTTGTCAAGACGACTATGTATCTGCATTTTGTGTGTGTGCCATGTGTGTGGCTATGTGTGTGTATATATATATATATATGTCCTTTATTGCCCTAAACACATATGTAAATACATATATATATATATATATACACATGTATATACAGCTGTATGTATGTATGCATATATATATATATATACGCAGAGAGAGAGAGAGGGAGAGAGAGAAAGAGAGGTAGGTATACATGGCCTTTTCGAGAGCGGCAATTTGAGCCTTCGCCGTCGTTACTCGCGATTTGGGCTCGTCAACCGTATGTTGTTTTATAGGGATCTATAAAGCTTTATGCTGAGGCCCGAAGGTAAGCATAACGTTTCTTGGCATAATATCGTGAACTCAATCCTATAGGGAAAGGGATAACATGTAGTACGAACCATGGACGTCCTTATGTAGTATGTCATGCAAGACATGTCCGATAACGACCCAAAGAGTCTCAGTTACATGTATACGGTTCAGGGCCATAGGAGTCAGGGATTCGTGGATGTAGGGTGTGGGGATTTAAGGTTTATGGTTTATGGTTTATCGGATATGGGATTTCGGGCTCAGGGATGTTCATGGCAGGTGGGTCCTGATGTGGCGCTACACAACTCAGGCCCGGAACGAGAAAGATTCCAGCAAGGAGAAGGGTGGAACCAAGCTTCGTGCTATCGGTCTACATATGTATGTACGCGGACTTCTATATATATATATATATACACATACATATATATATATATATAGCTAGAGATATATGTACAGTCATCGCGGAAGAAGAAATGAGACTCGATAGGTTGTGAATTCAGCCAGAATGCACAGCGTGGATCAAAGAGCAGAGTGATAAAGGAACGCCGTGGACGTATCCTGCGAAGGCGGTTCTGCTGGAGCTTCCGGCCCTCAAGAGTGGGGTTTGAGGTCTATAAGGTTTGGGGTTCAGGGTCTAGGACTTCATACATTTATGGTGTAGGGTTTAGGGATATGCTGATGCCTAGGACAGGATAGTCCAATGCAGAAGCAGTTGGTGCAAGCAAAATCCTCGACGTTCAGCTGTCCATGGAACGAGCCGCACAAGAGGAAGAGAAAAACAAACAAGAACCTTACATCGTCCAGCCGTCCATACATCGGTCAATCTATACCTACATGCGCACATTCGTGCATGTGAAAGGATATATACACGTACATGCCTGCATACCCATACGTATGTATATACACATACCTACTTACCTAGCTACCTACCTACCTACCTACCTACCTACCTACCTACCTACCTACCTACATGCATACATACATACATACATACATACATACATACATACATACATACATATATACATGCATACAGACATACATGCAGACAGACAGACAGACAGACAGACAGACAGACAGACAGACAGAGACAGACAGA